ATTTATTCATTATTTATGGATGTAGCACAGCAGCAGTTTGTTGATTAACACATGGAGGGCTCGGGATCTGATGGTAAATAATCAGATTTTTTTTCTTTCTTCCTTGGCAGTTTCTTCGGCCAAGGTCCAGAATTCTGGAGTCCGGTGGCGGATCACCACCGGACTCCTGCTCCCACCTACACACCTGGACAAAAGGTTTGGCTGTCTACCAGATTCGTCCCACTCAGGTCTGAATCCAAGAAACTGTCTCCCACTTTCATTGGTCCCTTTGAAGTCGACTCTGTGATTAACCCGTCTCTGTCCGTCTTAAACTGCCCCGGAATATGAAAATCCATAACACCTTCCACGTGTCGCAAGTGAAGCCGTGCCTCTCTAGTCCTCTGAGAACACAACCATAGAACTAACTGAAGGTTAAAGTCTCTACTATACAAACTGGAACATAATACAAACGGGCATAAAACTCAAAATACCGGCCCGTGACAAAAACGAGCTTTCTTCATTTCTTTAATTTGTAACTGATGGTGAGTAGTATTTCTAGTACATTAAAGCACATTCACAGTGTTTCGTACGTCTCTTTATTTTATTTATTTTTTATTCTAATTTGAATTGATATTACAGCACTAGTGTTTAAAAAAAAACAATGGAAAAACATGAGATGAAACGCAAATTCACATTTGAAGTGTGTATCTGGATTAACTTTTTTATTGCTGTATAATAATCGACACCGACGTTTGCGAATGGTGGTAGATTTTCCCTTTCTGGGTCCTTGTCCATTAGGTTCCTCTTGTGTCTCCTTCCTGTGTGTCCCTCTTTGTGTGTCCTTTTTTATACGTTTGTGAGTTTGTGTGTGGTGGTTGTTGTTGTTGTTGTTGTTGTTGTTGTTGTTGTTTTGCTTTCCTGACAAAGGGAAAATGTGCTTTGCAATTTTACACACAGTAAACCAGTCCAGAGTTCAAAGTTCACAGTTTGTATTTCATCATAAAAGTTCAAGATAAAATATTTACTACACATTTCAGCCAGTGTCAGTCTCTGTTTCACTCTCTAACTGTGGCTTAAGTACATAAAACATTCAAGAATCTGATAGATTAATAATATCTGACAGAATGTGTTCCCAGCACTCGATATCTCCCATTTGTGGTCTACTTCTCATAGTTTTACATATCAACTGACATTATTGTCTACATCTCCACCACTATAGAAGTGAGTGGGCTATTATACCATAATGCACGTTAAGGTAAATACTGCACGTAAAGTAAGTAGCATCTTGTATGAGATGATTAGGGTAAGCAGTAATGTGTATGTGAGCCTAAAGAAAAGGAATTTAAATACACCAATACCAGCTTCAGATCATATTGTATATTATATGTTTCTACTTCTTTTAATATGTCATCTGTCTTGTTTATATGCAGTGACAATTGTACATGTGGAGTTGTGCTCATATTTGGTTTTTATATTCAGTGTATCATTTGTAAAATGTTGACATTTTTTTTCTTTTATTATTGTCTTGTTTGTTTGCACATGTTTGTAAATACAGCAAATATTTACAACCTTTGTTTTTTGAAGAATGTTTATGTTTGTGGCGATGAAGCTATCTGGTAACATGACACAGCCCTTTGAACCTCATCTTCATGCCCATCATGTGGCTATGGTACAGGATTTAGGTTTAATGTGATGCATATGCAGGTTACAGCCAGGGGATGGCAGTATGTTGTGGATTGATTTGGCATGTTCGACTACTG